AAGTTCATTTAAAAATTTTTCATTGCCCCCCCCTTCCATGAAAAATCAGTTTGGTTTTTTTTTTTTTTTTTTTTCTTCTTCTGCGTAAATTTTGTGTGAATATGAACTTACTAGTTCATTCATTTGGGTAATTATTGGGAAAAAAGAAAGAAGAAAAAAGGAAGAACATTTTATTATTATTATTATTATTTTATGTATTCCTTTCCTCCGGTAAGAAGAAAAAATGAAAAGAGAAAAGACTTCCAACTCCTTCTAATTCATCCCTTAAACCCTAAACCTCCGAAAAACCATCTTCAATCTCTCTCCTTGTTTCTCCAGCCATGGCCTTCTTCGACATCAGCATACCTGATAGGATTTTTAGTACCTGCTCAAATAAGGTTAAAATCACATAAAATACTTGCAAGAATACAAGGCTATTGTAGTATAGATGCTCATGCAAGGTCGTTCTCCTTAAGGACTATTTAACAATTTATGTAAAAACAATTTCCTATTAACTACCTAAAATTAAAAGTTAAGAAAGATGATTATGAAATTGTTTGATACTAAAAACAAATTTTAAACAAAAACAATTACGATTGAAGGAAAGAGTTTTAAATACCAATTTATAAAAGCACTAGGGTTTCACCATCACCTAGCAATCCTATGAATTTTTACCAATTACTTATGATTCGCACATGCCACTTTGAAGGTTAGATTTTCCTAATTTAAATTCTACTTGGAACCTCCAACATAGAACTTATATCCAACAAGCAACCTGTTCAGACATTCGGATCAAATCTGAACATGAAAAACTCATTATGTTTTGTGAAAACCCTTTGAAAAACCATGCACCCTTAAGACGTGGTGTTCATCTTACGTGAAATTACAATTATTAAACACAAGAAGCTAGCATCAATTTCATGGAACCTTCAGACCAAAATTGACAGGACCCGACCCAAATTCCACTTTGGAATCCGAGCCGAACCTTGTGCGTGTTCAACACCTGGTGGTTGCTGGACACAATTGACCAAATTGCCCTTCTAACCATAATTCCATAAAATTTAAGTGCGACTTTTGCTGAAAATTCAGAAAAGTCTCCCCTGTAATTTGAACATTTCCTAAAAATTTCCACCTGTAAAACAAGCATATATGTTTATATCTAACCCAACTGACAGCATGCATTAAATTATATCCAAGAAAATCAAGCATCATATCACTTTGGCCTCAGGCCTCAACAAATCAAATAAATTATCCTACTAATAAAAATTCATCTCAACTTTCAAAACAACAATAGTACATTAACAATCTCAAACACTCCAACTCGTGGCTGCACCTTGTAACATTAAGCTGCCTACGTAATCTTACTGAGGGATCAAGCCACATGTAGTTCTTTCTCTTTAATAATGTAATTGAATATCTCAAAACTGAAATCCTCTCCACCTGGGCGTACCCCTAGGCTTGATCCATCAATTCCATTAATATCGTCAATTCCATCATCGTGGGCCTCGAAGACACTAAGTCTACTCGAGCCGCAATCCTTGCATGCCTTGGAGATACCATTTCTATTCGAGCTGCAATCTTCACAAGCCTTTGGGAACCATTGGTCAGCCTAAGCCGCATTCCTCACACCACAAGGTTCAGGCGTCCTCGAAACAGGTGGGGCATTATTTATAAATGACACTGATTCAAAGCAACTAGGGGGTACCGTTGTGGTGGATTTGAAAAACCATATTCCAAACTTATATCAATACTTTTCCTTTATTTCACAATTCATTTCCCTACCTTTATACCAACTTTATGATAAATTGATTCTCAACTATACTTAAAATATATATGCCACAATCTGATAAAAACCAAGGGTCATGATTCATCATTTTCAACTACTGGGTACCTTAGCAATTTATAAATAACTATCTATACTCAATCCGTAACATGACCCAGATAATTCATTCTCGGTCAGGACTCGTTTACATAGTCATTTAAACACTTCCAAAAGAATATAACTGCCTCGGAAGACTCACGGTCAACTGGTCAAACCGCCTAAACTTGGTCAACCTGGCCCACGAGGCTAACGACCTCCGATCACAGTTTCAGAAGTACCTATAGGTGCAACGTACTCTTCTAAACCTACCCTGCAAGTCTGGTCCAAATCGAACGGTTGGATTGATCACAATCGCACGATTGGATGACAACAATTAATCTTGCCCAAGGGTTCGCGGTTTCGGAGTATATGGGACTCTGATTCATGATTCTTCGAATCCTACACGATCCTAGAATTGTCTTGATCAACATATATGAAATTGACCGCCATCCAACGGTTCAAACTTATAGAACCCAAAAATCGCACAATAGGATAGATCTGTTGGGGGTTCAAACGTTAACCAAATTGGAATCCGAAAGTACCTATGCGCTCGTGAGATCACGAGGATCATTTTAGGATAGAATGTAGCCCCCAACACATTTCCCATACCCCGCCCACGCGCATGCAACGCATGGGTGTGCAGATCAAATTCTGTCGGTTGGAAATACCCCAAACCGCAGGTCAAGATTCCTACCCTAAATGTAAAACCTCATTTGGAGTCTCTTTTGTTCTTGGACTACCCCAAAAAATGACCGGAAGTGGCCGGAATCAGAGGCCGAAAACCGGCCAAACTCTTATCGCTTAATTACCTTCCAAAACTCAGAAATTTCTCCTAAATAACATAACCAACAGCTATAACACCTCAAGAGGATGAGAAAGCATACCTAGATTGCAAGATTTGGTGCCCGAAATCGTTCGAACGAAGCTAGAGAAAATCTGTCAAAAACCGATCGTTTCTATGGAAATTTTTGGCGATCTCCGGCAGTTTCAGGGGCTAAGATCGATCGGGAAGGGAAGAGGGGGTGGTGGTCGTTTGTTTGGGTCCGATCTCGTGGCCTGTGGCGGTCTGTGGTGGTGACGGTGGCTCAAGAGCCAACCGGCTGTAGCAAAACGGTCTGGGGAGGGGCTAAGCGACAAGGGAGGAAGAGAGAGAGAGAGAGAGAGAGAGAGAGAGAGAGCTTACAGATAAGCAACAAAATCTCGAGCTTTGCAATCCCACGGCAAAATGATGATTTTGCCCATACTTGAATTTTGATCGCATCTCTCTTGTTACAACTCGGATTTGAGCCAACTACGTGCCTACGGACTCATCTCAATGTGCTCTTTGCAACGATGAGACTAAAAATTCCCAAATTCCTTCCCGAATAAAAAGTCAACTTTTAAACCATTAAAATATTTCGGGGTAAAATAATCTTTTAATTGAATAAATTAATAACTAAATATTAATTTAGGATCGGGTTGTTACAAAAATTGTATCCAATTACTTTTCTAAAGATCCTAATGGTGATCAAGTAATAAGACAATTATATAGTTTAAAACAGTGATTAATGATTCAAAGTATGCATGCAATCAATCATAAACAATTAAATAAAAATTACATATTCATGCTAAGGTTCAAGGCTTCACCCTAGCAAAAGAAAATTAGTTACGCATATTCATAACTGAAATCATGGAAAATATTATTAAGAATGAGAAGAATGAAAACACCTTAAAGTCGCAAAAACTCCAAAATCCTAGCAATTGCTCTCCACAATGTCACGTTCAAAGGCCAAAAAGAAGCCCCCAATATTGCCGTGAAAAAGAACTTAAGTACCTCCTAAAACCTAGCTGTCCAATCCCCACAAGGAAACTAAGTTAAAATAAAATAATACTATAATATAAAGTCCAAATTGGATTAGGAGAATCTGCCCACAATCTACCCAGCCACGTTTTGGCCTCGAATCTTCTCCAAATCCGGCCCAAGATAACTTGTTTTAAAGATAAAAATATTCTAAACACTTCTCCAGAAGGCCACAAACCCATCCTAGGTCATTTTGGGCTTCAAAGCACAAGAAAAGCCCAAAATGTCACTATTCCAGCA